ATATATATCATCAACATCATCATAGTCTTTTTCCAATTAATTAGGGTCGGCTACATGAATCCTGGCCCGTCATTCTGCTCTATTAAGAGTCATATCCTGTGTGAGGTCATAAGTCCACATATCTTTTCAAACTACTTCCAACCATGTCCTTTTGGGCCCACCCCTTGCCCTTTTTGAGCCTTCAATTGAAATAACTCGCACCTCCGAACATGAGTTGTATTGGACCTGCGCCACGCATGAGCAGCCAACCTAAGTCTACTCTCTCTCATCTTATCGCCTATTGGTGCCACACCTAAATTTTTTCAAATGGATTCATTTCAAATTCTATCTTTTCTTGTCTTGCCACTCATCTATCTCAACATCCTCATCTCCATTACGCTCATTCTATGAGTGTATTGTTTTTTGACCGCCCAACATTTTGCCCCATAGAGCAAAGTTAGTCAATTGTCCTATAGAACTTGCCCTTCAGCTTCATTGATATACGGCGATCACATAAAATTCCGGTTGCACATCTCCTCTTCGCCCACCCAGCACTAATTTTGTCTGCGACATCTTCCTCAATCTCTCCATTTTTCGACATTATCGACTCAAGATATCAAAAGTGCGGTCTTTTTAGTATTTCCTGACTTTCAATCTGAACTAATTCATCATCTCTACTCCTATTATTACTATAATTGCATTCCATATACTCCATCTTTGTCCGGCTAATTCTAAAACCTCTAGATTCTAGAGCATCCCTCCAAAGTTCTAACCTTGTGTTGATGTTGTTTTGGGTCTCATCAATCAAAACCATGTCATTGCGAACAACATGCACCACGGTACCTCATCCTATAGGTGCTTAGTTAAGTCGTTCCTAACTAAGACAAAGAGGCATGGGCTTAATGCTAACCACTGATGTACACCTATTGTCATTGAAAACTCATCCGTCTCTCTACTAATTGTTCGTACACTAGTTAGCACTCCATTATACATATTTCTCACCAAGTCGATATAGTGTTTGGAGACTCCTTTCTTATTCAACACCCACCAAATCAAATCTTGAGGTACTCTATCATAAGCTTTCTCTAGATCAATAAAGACCATGTGGAGGTCTTTTCCCTTCGCCCTAAACTTTCTCAACCAGTTGTCTAAGTAAGAAAATAGCCTTGGTTTTTTGATACACTCGTTTCATGCCTTAGTCATTGCTCAATCAGTCTCTCAAGAGCTTCATAGTATGGCTCATAAGCTTGATCCTGCGATAGTTTGCACAATTTTGTATGTCTCTTTTGCTCTTATAAATAGGTACCACAATACTTTTCCTCCATTCGTCTAACATTTTCTTTACTCTCAACACCTTGTTGAACAGCTTCGTCAGTCAGTCAATACAAATCTCCCCCATGCACTTCCAAACCTCTACCGGGATAACATCTGATCCTAAAGCCAATCCTATCTTCATCCTTTTCAAAGCTACTTTCACTTCCGATATCTTAATCCTACGAATGTATCTATACCTCTGCCCTCATTTATACCAACGGTTCCTTCTACTACTACATTCCCATTGTGTTCGTCATTTAATAATTTTTGAAAATAAACTCTCCACCTTTCGTTGACCTCTTCATCCTTCACTAAGATCCTTTGATCTTCACTCTTAATGTATTTAACATGGTCTAAATCACTACACTTTTCCTCTCTCATTTTTGCTAATATGAAGCCATCTTTTTCACCATTTCTTGTTCCCAATTTAATGTATAAATTATCATATGCCTTAAATTTAGCGTTACTATTTGTTTAGCATTTTTCTTAGCATTTTTTTATTCTTTAAAGTTTTGATAATTTCTATTACATCACCAAGTTTTATAATATGATTGTTTTTCGCTAATGGCCTTCTGAACATCATCACTCTACCACCAAGTTTTCTCATCGGAATTTCTTTTCCCTCTAGATTCTCCAAAAACTTCTTTTGCTAATTTCTTAATACAGTCAACCATCTCATTCCACGTAACATTAACCTCATGTTCAGAGTTATATTTTCCTTCTTTAACTAATTTATCTTTAAATAAGCCTATTTTCTTGTTTTTTAAAATCCACCACCTAGTTCTTAGACACCCATTACGTTCACTCCTTCTCTTCCATGTCTTTATGCAAACGTCCATAACCACGAGCCTATGATGGGTAGTCAAACTCTATTATAGGATAACCTTGCAGACTTTACAAGATGGTTGATCTACCTTCTTAATTAGGAAGAAGTCAATCTGGCTTTCATGTGATCCACTTTTACAGGTTAATAAATGTTCATCTCACTTTTTAATGTAAGTGCTTGCTATTGATAGGTCGTAGGCCATCTAGAATAGCCTCACCCATCTCATTTCTTTCCCCAAACTCATATCCCCCATATACCCTTCATATCCTCTATAATCCTTCCTTATATAACCATTTAAGTCCCCTCCTAAAACGGTCCTCTCTCCATTTGATATGACATGGACTATGCCATCCATGTCCTCCCAAAATTACCTCTTAATTTTATCCTCTAATCCTACTTATGGGGCATAAGCACTTGTTACATTAATTATCTCTTCCCCTAACACAAGCCTAATTAATAGGAGCCTATCACCTATTCTTTTAACATTAACTACTTTATCTTTTAATTCTTTATCAACTATTATGCCTTGGTCATTTTTATTATTGTTCTTTCCTATATACCAAAGTTTATACCCATTTATTTCTTTAGCTTTTTCTTCTTTCCATTTGGTTTCCTGTAAACAGGCTATGTTTATTCTCCTTCGTCTCACTGTATCCACTAACTCCATACTATTATTTGTAAACGTTCCTACATTCCATGTGGCTAAACGAATGCTATCCGCTTTGACTAGCTTCTTTGCCCACGCTCGTCCAGAATGTCGCGAGAACCCTTGCCTATTTTTCACCGCAACCGGGCGGCACTACGATGCATTGCTTTTAGGGAACGCCCTAGCATAAGCAAATATTGTAGGTTCAAGATTCATGGTAAATTTTGGTAAAACTTTATGTAGGCTGCCTACCCATCACAATCCAACCCCTTTATCCGGGTATGGGACGGGTTAAGGGAAAGTTTAACCCAGGCATAGGGAAGTGATTTCATGTCACCATGTCATTACAATATAATGAAACCACATTTCTAGAAACCCATGTTTGTGGAATTTGTATGACCCCAAAAATTGTACACACCCTCTCTTTATCCCAATGATCAATTATTAAAAAATAAAATTCAATTTACACCCTAGATATGGTCAAAATGAATCTCACTCTTAACAATAAATCTAGACCATCCATTTGGTGAATTTCAAGATTTACCCCTTTACAAACACAAAATTATTATTTTTTCTCTTAACATTCGTCATCCAATAATAATAATGCCATCTAAAAAATTTGGAAAGGGAAAAAATACTTCGTAAGTCCTAGATCTATGAGTTTCACCAAAATGGATGACCAATATTAATTGGGCTAAAGAAACACATTCTAGGGTGTGTTTTCAAATTTTGTTTTTTGTTTTTATAATTGTTCATTAGAATGAAAAGACTCTACGATTCAAAATTGCGGTCAAACTAATGGCCCTAACACGGTTTTTTAAGATTGTTTCATTATATTACCATAGAATCGTTGCATAAAATCACTCCCCCTATATCTATCTATCCATATATAATTATATATTATATATACATATATATATATAAAGGGCTTTCCACAAGTGCTCCTATAGATAAAGTGTAAATAGCAGGGGCGCTCCTTGGTAGGGATCCTCAGCCATGGGTGAATCCCAAGTTCTAACTCCCACACCTGCTCCAGCTCCCAACAACTATGGTTCTTAAGATCGGTATTCTATGTTCAGTGGAAGCTTTGACTGGTTTCTAGGTGATTTTCATTTTTCCAATGTATGGGATCCAAAGTTTGGAGTCTTTAAAAGCATCTGCATTTAGAATTAGAAAAAGTCCAAAACCCACAGGTTATGTTATTCCTTCTGTTCTGCTCCTCTCTCTTCCTGGATTGCATCACTGAGTTCATACAAAGTAACACCCAACGACAACTGAAAACACATCACAAGAAAGCATGTTTGACCTTTCTCTAAAATAGATAGGCTTGCATAAAAATTAGAAATTCAATCTTATAAATAAGAAGAGCTCACTCGCTGAAGATTTTAACCATACAAGATGGTCACTCGCACCATGGATGCAAAGAGTGAGTCAAAAGCAAAATCCCAGCATTGCATGTTCGATATGCAACACACAAAAAAAGACCACCATTTAGAGCACACCTAGGGCAGGAGATCCTACCTACCCATCAAAGTTCAAACCCTACATCTCTTTCATTACCTCTCGAAGAAAGAGAAGAGCAAATCAAACACTGAAGGTTTCTTACTTTTTGATCTATTAAGAGGCCTTTTATTCCACTGTTCTGATCTACCTATCTTTCTGCACGCACAAGTAGACATGTAATAGGCACATAAAGAGATAACAGAGCAGTGGAATAAAAGGCCCCTTAACAGATCAAAAAGTAAGAAAAATGTCCAAGACGATCTTCCGTAAAATAGCCATGCTTCTACTGTTTATACGTCAGTGATTTCACACACTTCCAAAAATTACTTAAGCCAGTCTCCCAGGACTCACAACTCTAGTAAATATAATTCTTGTTTAGCTAAGCAATCTGCAATCAATGATTTCTGATCCTTGAGAAGGATCAAAAGCAGTAGTTCACAGTCATACACGGGAAGGAGAATCTAATTCTGATAAATTCCACCTAAAAACTCAAATGAGTAATGCTTTATCCAATTGCCAAACATTTTTAGAATTTAAAAAAAAAAGACCAGTTAGTCACGAATTAGCTGGTCACTTTTAGATGAGGTAAATAGCATGGTCATTAGCTGGGAAAATTACCAAACTAATTGGGAAGGACAATAGGAAGAGTGTATAGACAACTTGTAAGGTAATTAGGCACTCTACAAGCCACAATGGTTGACTCTTGCCACCAAACTCAACCATAAGTGCAGGTGACATGACCGATGGTTCAAGACTACATGGTTACTGCGAAAGATATGAAGGATGCATGCTCTACTATGTCATAAAGCCACCAATACAGGTATTGGTGTCTAACAAGACACGTCAAAAACACCACACCCAAGAATGGCCTTTCAGACTTGACATAAATCATTGAGAGAGGGGGGAACAAGCAAGTTTATGCCACTTTAAGTACTTTATTATTATCAACATTGTAAAAAACCAAAATAGTCGCACTGCAAAAAGAATGGGACACAGAGGAGTTTCTAAGTGCTGTAATCTACTTGGCGTGTTGACATGTGCCAAGATCCATGTACAAGGGTTCCAAGTTGAATAGGTGACCTCTTGTAGAGGCAAGTAAGAAGCAATCCACTAAAAAAGGGAAACATAGGGATATGTATGGGCGGTTCATTTCTCTTCTCTGTTTTGGATAAGTAGATCATTTCTCTTTATATGGGAAACTCCAATTTCCTTCGCACAAGAAACAATTTCCTCAAATAAACATAAAATGAATCCTACAACTTTTGTGGCCTTGTGCTGTTTTATCTAGAGAAGTCAAATCAACACTGTAGTAAAAGGAAGTTGAGGACTACAAAGAAGAAGATACCAGTAATAGAAATTTCATAAAATGCAATAAATAAAATACAAAGAGCGCTCTACTCAAAGCAACAGTCTTCAATTCAGAGCATGTGGCCCCCAACAAGCCTAATCAGGCCGCAATCTCATCAAAATTAAAGAAACTAATTGCCAGGCAGTTGCCTGGATCGAAGGAAGTTGCTATCTACTCTATATTAGAGGTAAAACCTTCTTTTTCCCTTTTTCCTATCCCCTTTTAGGTTCTGTCTGAGTTCCTTAACTGCACTATGATGCAATTCAATGCGACATTTTAAGTTCTTGTGATCCATCCACTAAAGGAAATGATGCTACTCACTGTTGCATTTTTCTAATCTTTGAGCTGATTTACACGAGTACAACTAGATATTCATGCGTTCAGCTTGAGAAGTTGATATCATGTGTTAACATCTACAAATCAAGCAACATCTTCACATTTATCCAATTTAAATGTTCCTACATATTATTTCTTTGACCAGGCGCAAGCACCAAAAGGACTCATTCTATATAATCTTTTTCTTGACACATATACACTTGAAGACAACAATTCAATTAGATTGGCACTAGATCTTTGTATAAGAAGGATCAAGAAGCTACAATGAATGCAACAACCTTGATTAAAAAGAAAAACTCAAAACCCAATGACAATAATCTTTAGGGAGAGAAAAAAAACCTTGATGAAAAAAATGCCTCGATATTTAGTAAGAAACTAAGCAAAACACAAATAATCTTTAGCAAGGGAAGAAATCATAGCTTCATAGAACTAGAAGAAATCACAAAGGCAAACCAAGGTTTTAAATATAGTAAGGAACAAGGGGCATGAGAGTCCAACCTGACAAACCCATGCTGGTTAACATCGGCAGCAAGCAAATCATCTACTGTCATGTCCCTATGCAAGACCCAATTGGCCACCCTTCGATGTCTCTTATCAATCCTCCACTCCGCCAAATAAAGGAAAGCCCTTGCAACAGCAAGGGTTGAAACCAAGAGCCAAACCGAAGCAAAGAGTCGACCAGGCAATGTCGTGAAAGCCCTATCTCCATAACCAACCGTCGTGACCGACATAACCGAGAGATAGAAGGAATCAAGCCACCCCAATTGCTCAATTAAGTGAAGGACCCCAGTCCCAACACCAATACACAGAACCACCACACCCAACGCCAAAGCAACCTTCATTCTTATCCTCATTCTTCCTTTCTCTACATCCACAATATAACTTCTAGCTACCCCAGTTTCTCTTCTTCCCCTAACATTACTGAGAAGCAAATTCTCTTGCAAATCAAGCACATAGCTCACCATTCCACTCAACAAAATATCAATAAACCCAAAACCCACCAAAACAAAAAGGCAAGCAAACAATTTTGTCAAGTCGGTTTGGGGTGTTATATCACCATAACCAATTGTGCACATAGTCACTATACAGAAGTAGAGAGCATCGATAACAGGGTGTGTTTCATTACCTGAAAAATGGTCTCTATTAAAAGCATAGATGAGAACACCTAGAGAGAGATAGAGGAATAGAAGAACAACTGCTTGTTTGACAATAGAAAAGGACCCAAAATGGGGTTTTTGAATTTCGGGTTTTCCGTCTCTCATTACTGCCATGGCTGGAGCCGTTTTAGAGCGATGAAGAGTGTGTTTCTTGCTGAGGTTCGCCTTATCAGTAGGGTGGTCAATGAGAGGATGCAGAAGGTCCTCTGCTTCTTCTGAAGCTTCAGAGCAAAAGTCAGGAGGTGGGTTATTTCTATCTCCAAAGATTAAGATTTCTTTGAGAGCAGGAGAGAGAGGGATGCCAATTTCTTCATGTTCAGGAAGGGAAGAGAGGTGGTTTCTTATTTGTATTTCAGGGGTGTGTTTTTTAGGTAGAAATGGGTGATTATCCATCACAACCAGACTGTTATTGATCAAGGAGAGAGATGATAGAATAAAAAATATGCATAAAAGCCCCAAAGAGAGATGGTTGAAAAGGTTAAGAGAGAGAGAAAGGCCTGTAGAGAGAGAAAGACCAAAGGCGTTTACAGAGAGAGTTTAGAGATTGGCCTAGGGAGAGAAAGATGGCTAACAACGCTCACAGAGCTAGAGACAGCGTTAGAGAGAGAAAGGCGACTAATAAGGTTCACATAGTTAGAAACACGGAGAGAGGTTTAGAGAGAAAGATGCTAGCGTTCACAGATTTAGGAATACAGAGATTAGAAGGAGATAGAATTGTGAAAGAGTGCAAAAGACGTAAAGACGTTAAGAAAGAGAGAGAGAGAGAGAGAGAGAGGAGAGAGAGAAGAGAGAGAGAGGACTCAGGGTGAACCTGGTTTACCAGCCAGTGATCTCCTTGAAGATGTGCAGGCCCAATTCTAGAGAGAGAGAGAGAGCTGCAAAATTGAGAGAGAGGAAACTGCGAAACGGAATCTGTGCCCACATTTATTGCGAGGAATTGATGTCTGTGTAATTTTCAGGCCAAATCCCGGCGATTATCGTCGGGATTTGGGACGATATGGCCGGAATTCGGGCACTAGTCGTGGCCTTTTGCGTGCTGAATCTTGTACTCGGCGACAGTGACAAGACAGCCTATAGCTCCCCAATAAATGACTAAATTACCCCCTACTTTCTGTGTAATGATGCTTGAACGAAGCGTCGTCTGACGTGGAAAACTCCATTTTCTTTCTACAATTCCTGGAACTTGGGTTGTCAATGGGATAATTTATTTTGTTTTTTATTTTTTTTATGTAATTAAATCAAAGATTATGGATAAGGTGTTGAACTCTCATCTCTCATAGGTAATTTAATAAAATTTATTAAAATTATAAATATTTAGAGATATTTATCCAAAAACGATTAAATTTCAACCATTTATTGTTTACCTATTTTTAGAAAATCCCCTCAAGGTATTTATCAAAATATACTCAAAGTTTTAGTTATTTATTATTTTACCTATTTGAAAAAAAATCAAAAAAGAGTTTATATAAAATGTCAACCTCATAGTTTAAAAGTGAGATACGACGATGTGAGATATAATTGTTTTCCAATATAGCATCTTGCGTTGTAATTATGTATTTCGAAATGACAATACCTCTTGCCGTGTGATATTGTTTTGGAAAAAGTTCATATAAAGTCTCAAGCTCTAAACAATCAAATTAGATTCTATCTCAAAAATTTAAGTAGAACAAGTTGTTTTGATGTCCAAATATCCTCAAATTGATCATCTCAACATCAAGATGTAGGTATATAAGAAAAAAAAATGGATTTCAAGTTTTGAAAATAGTGCACTCAACATCACGATGCAGGTAGATAATAAAAAAATGAATTTCAAGTTTTGTAAATAGTGTATCTTGTAACATATTTTTTTATCATCAATTTTTAAGATTTTCAAGTTTTTATAGATCTACTGGATTTACGTTGTTTTTTAATTAAAGATGGAAATATACTTTAAGACTATCACAAAAATTTCTAATGTTAAAATCACATTTCTCGATACTATTTGAAAGTGTGCTCTACTTTGATTGAGCCTTGGCTCTATACAAATTGCACCCTATTGTTTTTTTCCTCTAACTTGAGATGTAGAATTGTTGATCTCAACCGCCAAACACTCCATTCCAAGTCAAGTATTGACATTGCATCCAATCATTTGTAAGATATTTATTTTTTATTACAATGTCTCATAAGGTGTTTAGACAAATACGTATACATCCAAAAATATTAATACCACACACAAGTAGTTTTCTTTAAAATCACTAAATGTCCACAAAAAATAAAAAATTGAAACATTGCGATTCTTTCAACTTTTGTCTTTTAGTTTATCCAGATGATAGGCTTTTTAAAAGCACCACCAAGGTTGAAAATTTAAATAGTCAAATTCTAGAATTGCTCATCTTGTAATATAGTAATATGCCATTTGGATGGTCTATTTTCAAGATTTTTTTAAGTGTTTATTGATATGTTCAATCCACATCATTTTTAAAGCTCTAAATTTCATTGGTAGGGGTAGAATAAATATGAACAAAGGGTTTGGGTGGTAGTGCTAGTACCTTACACTCTAGTTATCACGTTGTGGTTTCCATTCTCACTATTAATACCACCCTACTAAAATACTTTTTAAAAAGCTAGCTCATGTTTCCATTCCTACCATTAACACCACCCCACTAATACTTGTATTCCCACTATTAACACCACTCCACTAATACCTAGCTCCTGTTCTAATTGAAAAAACAGGCAAGAACATGTCTAATAGCTTTATTCCCACCATTAACACCACCCCACTAATACCTAGCTCATGTTTCCATTCTCACCATTAACGCCACCTCATTAATACCTTTTAAAAAGCTAGCTCCTGTTCTAAATGAAAAAAATGGGTAAGAACATGCGTTATCCATTGAATTACCCAAAAAAAAAAATACAAAAAAGTGTAATAGACATTTAGAGCATCTCATGGCTTTATCATATCTGAACTACATATTCCCACAACATATTCCCACATAACTTGGAGGTGCGCCTTGAAAATCTATTTCAATCCTAATCACCAAATTTAAAGTCAAAATAAATAGAAGATAAAGCATATCAATAAACGCTTGAAAAATCCCAAAAGTGGATGATTTATATGTCATGTATTGCAAGATGCATTATTTTTAAGATTTAAAATCTTTTTTCTTTTATCTATACATCTCGATATTAAAATAATAAATTGGAACGATTTCCAATATTTAATTTTGTTGAAACTTTTTACGTGCATCATACTTTCATAATATAAGTCCGTGATATAAGGTTTTTTATAATATCAATTTACAATACAAGGTTAATGCCTTGTATAAACATTTTCCTTTTAAAAAGTTAGGGCTTTTTAAGAAAGAAAAACCCTATGGTTTTTAAGAAAAAAAACCTGTAAGATTTGATTTTTAGGACTTAGGCCTTCATAAAGTGCAATGATCAGGGTCCCACCCCTTCTATTTCATCTCTCCAAAGAGTTATCTGTAGAGAGACCCAAATCCCCAAAATACCCAAAAGCATGGATACATATCTCCCAAAATATAGAATTGACAACCAAGATTTCTCACCTCTGATGACTCATGTTCGAACCAATTTCCTCTTGGAGCAATTCGAGAGCGTGTTTGAAATTAAGTGTGAAGAATAAAGTCATTATTGATTTGATTTGTCACATCCTACTTTGGATGAAGTTTTTATACGGCCTAGGCCTTATTAAAATAAAACAAAACCTAATCTCAAATACTCATCCCAAAGGCATTTCGGCATCGGACATCTCGATGATGGCTCTAAAATTAATTTTCAACACTGTCAATAATTTTTAAAGCTCAAGAAATACTTCAAATCTTGTGGATCTACGAATATCTAGATGATTTGTTGAAATATGCACTATTTTTAAATTTTTAAATTCTAACTTTTTTACACAATCATAATATTCAAGCTACGGGTGACAATGAACCCTGGCCCGACTTGGGATGCATTGGGTATACCCGAAACGAGTCCAGATATGGGTCCAATAGTTAGACCCGACGGGTTGGGTCCGGGTCCAAAACCTAGACCCCAACACTATTCGGGTTTGGGTCTGGGTCCGATTGGAAAGTGTTGGAGATAAAATACTTCATTCTATTTGCTTTGGTAGTTGGATGTATTAAAGATCGTATACCAGAAGAACTCATAATTATATTTAACTATTAAATGACAAATTAGACGGTTTGAAATCTAACAGCGGGTGAATGTGAATTTGTTGCCAATAATATAGGTATATGATGGTAAAAAAAAAAAAATCATAGTGAGGTTGGAAATAGACCCGACCAGACTTGAGACTCAATGGGATAGACCCAATATCCTATGGGTAAGGGTATGGGTCTAACTTTTGGACCCGACCCGTTGCCACTCCTAGTTGATGATCGATTTAAAAGTTTTTCAATATTTAAAGGGTGTGGTTTCTATAAGGTTGCAGCCTTAAGCAATCAAATTAAGGTGCACCTCTAAAATTTATCACAACATGTAATTTTGGTATAAAAAATTATTAAGATTATCTTAAATTCTATTTTCATATCTCATTATAAATCAAATAGACCTATAAACATATGAAAATCTTGAAAATAGACTGTCTAGATCATATGTTGCAAGATGCACTATTTTAGGGACTCAAAATTTTTTTTTCTTTCATGTTCATACATCTTGATGTCTAGATGATCAACTAGAGGGTTTTTGAACATTAAAACAACATTTTCCCATGGATTTTTGAGGTGCATCCATAATTCTACATTTTAAAATTACAACTTCATATAAAAATTTTCTATACTTATATTACAATTTTTAATGAGTTATGAGGTGAAACTTTACATTTTTTTGATAGGGCTGCAGCCCTATGAATCATTTTCCTTTCTAGTTTTGGGCTAAACGTCCCCAATTAGGCAAAATTCCAAAAGGATAGAATGAGGGGCACTTGATCATTCTGTAGACGGTGACCAAGTAATACTCTAGGACATGGGGCACATAAATTATTGCACGGAATTGCGGCGGTACTCTGGTAAATTTTCGATGATTTTCGGTAAGATCTCGGAAATTGCGCATACTTCAATGAATTTCGGTTTAACTGTGACTGAAACATGTCCAGTACTATATAGAGAAAATAGTTTTTCTCAAGGGTAACCAATTTCGGTATGACCGTGACTGAAACATGCCCAATTTTTTATTTTTTTTGTTGACAAAAACATGTCCAATATTATATTGAGATATTAGCTTTTCTTAAGGCTGAGGTTTGCATAAGGTCGCAACCTCAATCACTCCTGCTATATCTCCAATATGTCCTTAAATATGGTTCAAATCAAACAAATCTATAAAAATATAAAATCTTGAAAATAAAAAGTCCAGATAATGTGTTTCAAGATATACTATTTTTAAAATTTAAATTTTTTTTTTTATATATCCATATATCTCTTATCGAAATGATTAATTGTATGGTTTTCAATATCAAAATAGCATTTTTCGATTGGAGTTTTGAGGTAGACTTTAATTTTACATTTTAAAGGGTCAAGTATCACATTATATAAACTTTTTCATTTTCTTAGTGGAAGAATTCATATTGGCCAGGAGATACACAAAAGGGATGCGGTCTCATGCTTTCCATTGGAGGGTGTAGATCCAGTGTTTTGAAACTCAGATAGCAGATTATTCAGCCAAAGATCTATGTCAGATTGTTGGGTTGATGATATGGATTGGACTCAATTGGTATGAATTGGTGATATGGAAATGTATTAAAAATAAAATTAAAATAAGAGTTTATAAGATGGGGATTTATAAGGGTTCTATATAAATATTAGATAAGCTAAGAAGAAGAAAAAAAAGGGATTTTTAGGGGGAATTAAGCTGAGACCCATACCGTCTTGAAACTGGAAAGGCCTCTATGAATTATCATCTAGATTGGCGACAAAGATTGGGAATCATTAGGTTTTAAAACACTGATGACTTCTATCAGAGGCTTAAGATATCAAAACATGCACAATTATAGGTGTAAGACTGACACGTGTAATTTTTTATTTTTTAAGAAATAAAGTCGCATCTTAAAACTCCATCAAGAATTGTAGTTTTGGCGTAAGCTAACGATCAATCAAGTTTATGATTTGGATTTTGACAATCATAGATAAGAAAAAAAGAAAAATAGCAAAAGATTTCCAATCCTAATTTTAGTACATCTTGTAATATATTATTTGGATAATTTACTTTCAATAATTCATAGATCTAGCAGTTTTTTACTATTTTTAGTCTAAGAAGAGTGAAGACTTTAATCTTTTCGTTAACCCGTTTTAAGTGTGGATATAGAAGGTGAATCGCATTAAGTTGGTAACCAACATAAAATTTTACCACATCTTATCATGAATCCTTAACCTATAACCTTATTGAAGGTATAACAATTAATAAAGAAAAATGAATGAATATTATTTATAGAACCGATTCCGATTTATTGAAACAAGACTCGAATGATAAAGATGATTCAAAATCGAGGAACAAAATTTTATATAAACGAATTAGGTTCATGTGACTAGTTCAAAGTGCAGAACCAAACAATAACACAAATTTAATAAATAATTAAATAATTTATATGAAGAAATTAATGAATAAGTCTCTAAGAGAATCAATCAACAAAGAATTAAATACAATTCAGACGGCCGCCTTGTTTTAAGTGCACTATATACAGGTGCATGCACAAGCTTCCAAACACGTGAATAAAAAACAAGACATTGGCTAATGATTCACATGCACCGCATCGCGGTGACTGCATAAAACCCTGCAGTTTGGAAAACGTTTGTAAATGGTGTCAAACATAGTCAAATATTATATAAGTAAGATGCACATCAAAATTTGATCTGGTCGATTTTTTTTTTTTTTGGTAATTCAATAAAAAGGCATGACTCAGGGAGTTAGTTTTTTTTTTTTTTAAGATGTCAGTAGGTAGTGATAACTAAACAACGGGATACTATCACTGCAACCCAGCCCTTTTCCTAAAAAAGGGCAAAAAAGATAAAAATAATAATCTAATTTTAAAAATTTTTGCCATTAATAACCTCAATATGAACAAAAAGAAATAATCAAAATTTAAATAACATTCATCTTGCAATGCTTTATCTGGACTATTGATTTTCAGTAACTTTTCAAACATTTAAAGATCTACTCGTACTACATACTTTTTCGAGCTTTAAATTTCAATGATGAAAATGAGGGTGTCTAGCACTGTAATTGTATATTTCAGCGAGATTTATAAAGTGCACATTACTTTGATAGTTTATGGCTGACACCTTATACAAAATACGCCTTTTAAAGTTGGATTTTTGACATTGGCCTTCCACGATCACTTGACTTCTTTTAGATACACACTGAACCAATTTACCCTTTAGGGCTTCTCTCACATCTGAGTTTTTTCCCTCAATAAAAGCCCTACATCTTTCATGGAGATAAGGAACCCTCCTTTTGTTTAGGGCTTCTGCTTACCTCACGTTTTAGTTTTCATGACCTTTTTAACTCAATACATGCCTTCTTTTCAAGGCACTCCCCAATACTCTCTCTATATTTGAATTGTAATGAGAAGTTGCGTGTACCCCTCAAGCAATAAGTGGGTCAGGATCCCTGTTTCAGACATTCTGAAAGTGTAACCCAGTTTTAGATAATAAAAAAGCTCGAGTTTTCATTCAAATTTCATCCAGAATTTATGAGAGAGAGAGAGAGAGAGAGAGAGAGAGGT